AAAAAAAAAAGAAGAAGCAAGATATAATATAATATAATATTGAGTGAGTGCTCTTATTGAATGAAAGAGTTGTGTAGTTTTTTATTCTCGTAACGAATTATTTAATTGATATTAATTATGCTGGAAAAGCGAATCTCCTACTTCTTGTATTCGTATAATAAAATTCATTTCAATTATAATCTCATTAAATAGAACAGATGCTCTTTGCATAATGAAGCTTTGTTAATAACTTTTAAAAACAGGAAATATCATGTCTATTTCTTCATCATACTAATAGAAAAAGAATAATATATGATTTATCATAAATGAGCGAGAAAGAGAGAGAAAAGTGAAATAGTACCTGATAAATACTTCGCATTTCACTGTGAATTCATTTCATTCTATTCACTTGAATACACATTGATTATGGCTTGGATAAAATTTTCACTAATGCTCTTGTTGACACTTACTACAGTGTCAATAGCACAAGATACACACTCGTTCCATATGTCTCTAATGACTAATTCTCAATTTCAATGTGCCAACACAACTTGTTTGCCATTCGTCACGGTTACTGCACCGAGCAACCGTATTTGTCAAATAAATTGTTTAACTCATATTCAATGTCAAGCGGCTAGTTTTCATCAATCAACTTCGATATGTGAATTATTTACCAATATATCATACCAAAATATGAACATATCGATTCATACAGATGGCACTACGATGATAGTTATTTCTGGCACACGACGACCATTAGGTTAGTATTCATACAATATTTGTATGTAGTTTTCGTTTCATTTTTCTAAACAGATTTGGCCAGTTCGTCGACAACATCACCTAATCCATCAATAACAACATCACCAGAAACTAGTAAGTTACACAGTGATAATGGATGTATTTTACTCTATTGCAAAATTATTATCTATACTCACTCTGAAAACAACCACGTTTAGCTCTAATTGAGATAAAGTTTCAAAGATCTAAGAATAGTCCATAGTTAGATACTATCTTCACATTACATCACACAAAAAAAAGAACATTGTATTTTATAGCTTGTAGCAGTATGTTTCTTAATCAAACTACGTATTCAACTGGCTCTACTGTAACCGCAGTAGCAGTAGGTGATATAAACAGCGACAACAAACTCGACATAGTTGTCACCAATTCTGATTTGAATAGCGTCGGTGTCCTTCTGAACATAGGTGGTGGTATGTTTGCTTCTCATGTGGATTATCTAGTCGGCTCTACCCCATCATCAGTGGCAATAGCCGACATGAACAACGACAACATACCCGATATCGTTGTTGGAAACTCTGCTTCGTCTGACGTCAGTATTCTTTTCAATACAGGTAATGGCACATTTCTAAATCAAGTCAACTACTCAACCGATGGTAATCCATACTCAGTAGCAATAGCAGACGTAAATAGTGATAATAAATCTGATATTGTTGTTGCCAATTATGATATGGATACTGTCGGTGTCCTTCTTAGTACAGGCAATGGTACTTTTCTAACTCCAACAAGTTATGCAGCGGACGCTACTCCAATGACGGTAGTAGTCGTTGATATAAATAGCGACAATAAACCAGATATTGTGGTAGGAAACTCTAACGCAAACACACTCAGTGTTTTTCAAAACACAGGTAATGGCACGTTTTTGAGTCAAATTTTTTACGCAGTTGGCCAGGTTATGTCCGTAGCAGTAGCCGATATAAATAGCGATAACAAACCTGATATTGTTGTAGTAAATTATTTTTCAGACAATGTTGGTGTTCTTTTTAACAAAGGCAACGGCACTTTTTTCAACCAAACTACTTACTTAGTTGGTCACGGTCCGATTTCAGTAGCAATTACCGATGTGAATAATGATAATCAACCGGATATTGTTGTCGCAAACTCTTCTCCGAATAATGTCGGTATTCTCCTAAATGCAGGTAATGGTACCTTTTTGAATCAAACTACTTATGAAGTTGGTGCAAATCCAGTATCAGTATTAGTAGCCGATGTGAACAACGATAACAAACCCGATCTTATTGTTGCAAACTCTGATGGGCAAAGCATCAGTATTCTTTTACATTGTTAAAACTTATTCACGAACTAAAACTCTATTTATTCACTAATATTTTCTGTCTATTCTAAAAACATTTATCCTATTAAATTTCAATAAAAGAAGTAACAAAACTTTGTATGCAAGACTAACCATCAATAGTGTTCACTTGAGGGTGTTGGTGTAGCCGTGAGTGTATGCATCTTCTTTACTCACATCTAAACCCACATTCACATCCTTAAACTATGAAAATTAAAGTGGTATACGTATACAGAAACAATAGATTGGCTTAAAATTAAAGTTTTTATCACTATTTAAGTGTTTCATAATAAGATAATTATAATGTATCAACAGAAGGGAAACGATGAAACATTTTATAAACTATATATCAGATGTATACACATAGTCAAACTACGTATCGAATTAACTAGAACTAATGTATATCTAGTACACAGCAAAAAAATAACTATATATTACTTCATTCGAAACATTTTCACATATATAACCATTACTTTCATTTGAATAATTTTTGGGTCGACTTTTTGTTAAGATTTTGATTGATGTATCATCATGTTGCGACTTGAATTATGTTTCAAATTTATCGAAAAAGTGATTATAATAATCTCACCTTCCTATAAAAATGTATATGAAAACAATAAATATCAATTAATCTCTGTCTTACTTTTCTATCTTGAACACCTCAGGTCGATCATTCAGACCATCTGAAACTTCGCCTCATAAAGCATGAAACGGCTAGTCCTATTACTATCGTTTTCTGTCCGTTTAGTGCCTGAAATGCACCACTTTCAGACGTTTACGGATTGTTATATTTGACTTGAGATTCTAAAAGCCAGATTTTAGCATTATCCACTGGGTTAAAATTATTAAATCATCCTGGTAATTATTGGAATAACTTTTGTATAAAGTAAAAGACCGTTGATAAATGGATATGTTTCCATTAAAATAATCTAGAAAAGACGTACATACATTATACACAATTTCTTTATGCAAATGAATCGATCCGATCGTTCGACGAATATTTATCTGTACTATTTCTATTTCTATAATTTTCAGTTGTACGATAAATTTATATCTACTTTACTAAAGTTGATATAGATAAAAGATTCCACGTTTATTTTTCGTAGCCTGGCTGTTTGTTTCTATTCTTCTCTCTAAGTAAAATCTTGGCCGCGCTTATCTTTTATACCTTTTTTTGACCAAAGAGAAATATAAAGCCAATCATTTTTACACAAAATATATTCAGTATTAAAATGCCATTAATTATATTGAAGCATTAATTATCATACATTTATCAGTAAATGAAATCTTTCTTTCGCGAAAAATGTATTTCATGTCAAATTGATAGTTAATGCATAGATTTATAAATCGTACATACCATTCCTGTTTTTCCATCACAGTATTAAAACATTAAGCCAGTACGATTTCTTAAGATTCATTATATAGTATTTTAAACTCGTCTAGTATGTTATTTTTCTTCATCTGCTACTGAATGTATATTATGAATTTTTCATTCTCTTCATATCGCTTGATAATGATTCAAATATACTTGATATTAATAAGATTATTGTTTTCATCACTGTTTCAATATCTTCATAGCTAATTCAATGTGTTCATAAATATTCGAGGATGAGTATAACCGGCTGAATTCCGATATGCAGTGTGGATGTTGGTAGATAAAACGAATACCCACAAACACCCGCACCGATCCTCAATGAATGATGCAATAAAAAGAAAAATTGCGCATAATATAATTCCATAGATTTCTATAGTAGCATTTTTCTAGAGTTAATCGACCGTGTAAAAAATTAAGAGCAATATCTGCTAAAGATCTTTTCGTTGTCAGTCTATAAAGATATGATAATTGTTCGGTCAAGTGCTTTAGTGGTAATTGAATGTGTCACGTCTTGATAATCAATAAAATACGATATTCGGATAAGTATGCTTATTGAACGGAAGAGAAGAGCGAAACAACGAATAGAGAGAACGGAAAATGGAAGATATATATGAAGATAGATGTATAACACATACATATAACGACAACTATATATGTGTATGTGTTGGATAAAACCATAAGAGAAAAGGGAAAACACCATGACACACTGATAGAACATATGGATAATTCCATTATCATACTATGTTAGATGATATGGAATATTCCACTACCTCACAGAATGGTAGATACCTGCTCATATTCCCCATTAGCTACTGATTTAATCAAAATATGACGATCACTACAAGTAAATGGAAGTAACTCACCATTCGTACATTTCAAGGTGGGTGTGGGTGTTTCTGCCTATAAGCGCTCAGCTGATATCTGTGTCCACACCCTCCTCGACTAAAAGAACCTTGTTTTTAGTTAATGTAAACAGCTATAATAAATCATTGATTGTTGCTTTAATATCTCGAGGGTATGAGTGTGGCTGAACTGGGGTTACCCACATCTACACCCACACCCTCAGCTGTTGGTAGTGCAGCTGGTGCATTTTCAAAAATAACTGGTGTACTTGGAAAAGGTTTAGCTACATTAACATTTGATGAAGATTATAAAATTTCACGTGTAAGACGAAAAGAGCCGGCAACTCATGCAACTACTGATATTGCTATTGAAGGAAAAAATGTTGTTATGGTATGATGAGAAGATATGTTTAATTAAATTTTTTAATTGTTTGTTTTTTTTGTAAAGAGTTTTGTTGATGGTGTAACAGGTGTTGTTACAAAACCAGTTTCAGGTGCCAAAAAAAATGGTGCATTAGGTTTTGTTAAAGATTTAGGAAAAGGTTTTATTGGTCTTGTTACAAGACCAACAGGTGGGATTGTTGATTTTGCAAGTACTTCATTAGATGTAATAAAACGGTAAAGAATAAATAAATAAATAAATTGATTTTATTTTTATTATCTTAAAATTATTTAGAACTGCTCAACAAGAAGAAGTTGTACGTCGTGTTCGTTATCCACGTCATGATGGTCTTGTTCGACCATATATTTCTCATGAAACAATGGGATTTTTATTCTAAATGTAATTATTTTAATTTATATTTTATTCTAATAAATTTTCTTTTTGAATTTTCTTTTTAGAAATTAGAAGATGGAAAATATGCTAAAACAGATACGTATGTTGCACATATAACTTGTTCAGACAATCCACCATTTTGGTTATTAGCTACGTCAAAGTAAAAATTTTTCGATGAATTATTTTATTAAAATAAATTTCGAAGAACTTTAGACGTTTATTATTTATAACTGAAATATCATTTCTTGGTTTATATGAAATTGATTAGCGAATTGAATATGAAGATTTAAAAGAAGAACCAATTGTGAAACCTAATTTAAATCAAGTACAAATTCTTACAAAAGTAATTAGCCAAAAAAATTAAAAGATGAAATATTCTATTTACTTATTGTTTAAGGACCCAAAGAAAACTGGAGCATTAAGATCAACTCGTTCATTTGGTAAAATGGTTCATTATCGAAATATATTTGAAGCTCGAGTAAAATAAATTTTTTTCATTAAAAATTTTACTATTTATTTTTGTTTTGTTTAGTACATTGTTGATAAAATTACCAATGCAATGCGTACTGTTGGTCTTTAAACAATTCTATTTTATTTTAATCCAGCACATTTCTCTCTATTGTATACTTTTTTAATAACTATGTATAATCTAGCCATGCTTATGGAAATTCTTATCTGAGCTCCATGAGAACATTTAAATCTATTTCATATCAAAAAAACTTATTCATGTAGGGTATCGATGGATGTGGGTGTGGGTACTTATCTTCTTTAATACATACCAACATTTGCACATCCATACCCACACCCACACCCACACCCACACCCACACCCACACCCTCACACACACACACCCTCAAGAAATTCGATTAATCGCGATTAATCCTGATTTTACGCCGATCTTCTCGACAGAGTTCTATAGATTGATTAATAAAAGATATGTGTCTGAATTATTTGATAGTACTGAAACGTTTATATAAATTTTCAACATTATATTTTACGTTTATATGATAA